TAAATGAAAAATTTATATTACAACTATATAAAAAAAAATTATTTCTTAAAAATTATAATAAAAGTTATTAATAAGCTCCATAAAACTTATTTTTGAAATAAAAATATTATATTGGTAAAATTCCTAATGTCTACATTAATTATTATTACAAATATTAATTACTAAAGGTTATTAATAGAGTGTTGATCATAACTAATGCTAATTATTAATAATTGAATATTAAATAACATTATTAACTACAACATTATTATCGATTGTTTAACTGCACGCCCATAAAATGTCAACTTACACGAATAGCACTGCCAGAAAGACACGAAGCAAAACGTCAAACCAGAATCCTAACGAGAATCGAAGTCCGCGTATGTTAGTCATCTCAGTCACGTATTTAAATCACGGATAGAGCGCACCAACTTTTCTTGTGTAAAGAAAGTATAAAAATCGTCAACGTTAAACTTAAACAATTCATTGTGCAATAAACCATGTCAGCCCGTTTCGACACCGATCGAAGTACAATCAGTTCTTCAATATGGCACACCCGGTACATAAAACGTCGATACGGAAAGTCGAACATAATCGATATTTCGATTGTAGAATCGCACTCGTAAATTTCATTTTTTTTTAAATTCTATCGAATTTTGTTTTTCTAAAATTAAAAAATTGCAGCTATAGATATTTTACTTGCACTTTTTACTTGAGTTTTTTATTCTTTCTCTTTCTAACACTTAAATATATTTATATATTTATTTTATTAAGACAAGTGTAGAAAGTGCAGGAAGTGTAAACAAAAATAGGTTGCGACATGTACAGGGTATTCCATTAGACGCATAATAAAAAGAATTATTGTAATATTCTGAATTTATCAATTTATTAGCGACTTGTATTCTTTCACAAAAATTTTAAAAATAAATTTCATAATTGCTCTTTACATTATCAATCATTTTTTATCTTTAAAATTAATATTTATATGTTACACATTTTTCTTTTATTATAAGCTTGTTCTTTTTGGCTGAACTTTTACACCAGTTCGTCTTTCTTCCTTTTCTTTCCCTCTGGAGAGAAAAGGAAGAAAGATGAACTGGTGTAAAAGTTCAGCTAAAAAGAACAAGCCTTATATGTTTTAAACGGAACACTGTATATATTCATACATAACTCACATCACACACGCAAGACATTGTTCGATTTGCGAATTGTGGAAATGGAAGCATTCCATTTCCTTGCGTAAGCTCGTGGCCATACATTGCGTACTCATTTCCACAATTAATGATGGGAATATTACCGTAATTAATTTCGTCATCGAATTTACGTGTGACTATGTATATGTACGCGTAATCGTGCGTGAGCAGTGATAAACACATTAATCGCAATTTAGTATCTTTGAGAATATTCTCTCTCTCTCTCTCTCTCTCTCTCTCTCTCTCTCTCTCTCTCTCTCGCTCGCTCGCTCGTTCTCTAAACGTGTAAGTGAAACAAATAACCATAATATCGTGTACAAATTCTAATGAATGTAGTACGCGATAGATGAAAATAGTACTGATTTAATGAACAATTAAACGTTTGAAACAGGGATAATGGTACTAATTTAATGAACAATTAAGTGTTCGACGTAGAAAAGGGAATACAGATTAGTTCTTGAATTTCTTACATGTAAAAAAATCTAATTATTCAAATCGCAGAAAGGTAAATTAAATTACAGTAATAAATACCTATGATATAATAATAACATTTTAGAATTAGCACAGTTATTTGTACCATGTGATAATAGTAAGTCTTTGGCACTTCATTAACATAGGAAATATAATTGATATCTATTTTAGGAACAGTTCTACCAAAAACGAAAAAGAAGAAGAAAAAAAAGAAAATTGTTTCATATATGATATATAATTCTATTACATTATAATAGAATATTTAGAAGGAACTTAGAGATATTAAATATGCAAATATTCATCTTCTACCAATTGATTTAATTTCATAAATTAATTTCAAAATAAGTACAATGTTAACATCTATGCCTATGGCACCATCTACCTCTGTGAACAGTTCTGGACTACCAAGTCCAACTACTGATATATTTGATGATGTTTCAAACAAATTAACGGCATATTTACATCAATTAGCTGGAACTTATGAGATGGACAGTGATGTGATATTCAAAGATCATTGTTATGCTCGACCTTGGAATTGGAAGCCTGAGAACGCTTATGTAAAACCTGTAAAAAAGCTGTTTTTTTCAAAAAATATTGCAAGGTAAGATAATAAATTTGTTCTTTTTAGCTAAACTTGTACAATTTATCTTTTTTCTTTTTTTTTAATATAGAAAGGAGGAAAGATGAATGCAAAAAATTCAGTTAAAAAGAACAGACTTTTGACATTTGACATTCAATTTGATTTTTACTTAAATATGAGAGGATAAACAAGATGAATATAATAATTGATCTATATTACTTTTTATATTTTAGTGATAAGCATAGAAAAGATGAAGAAATTGACGTGGAAAATATTGGCAGTGAACCATTACCATTGCCTTTTGACTTAAGTCGAGTTCGACATATGATGGATGAATTTGAACGTTTAGCGAATTTTGCGCGACCCGAGGAAGAGGAAGAAGAGGATTGGGAAGACAAAATAGAGAAAACTCTATGGTCTCCCACCCAGAATCGGATATTTACCAAAGTAACACGGATATTAAGCTCGGAAAGACTTGCAAGATTAGCCAAGGCTAATAGCGTAACGGAACCGATCTTTCGAAGGACATCAGTGGATATTGCTGCAAGAAGATTTCGGGAAACGTTAGCTGGATCAACTGGATGGGACTGGAGATTGGCTCAATGGCTGCATAATTTGCTATTCGAGCATCTTCCTCAGGAATATTTAGCCATTTATCTCGATATTTTACAGGCCTTGAGATTAAAGATTCCTCAGCTAATTGATAAAATGATCGCTGTGCAACCAAATATTAATTCTAAGGGAGGTTCCATAACATGGGAAACGCTTGGATCACTCTTAAAACGATCTTGGGATCCGATCGCACAGAATTTGAACGGAAATAGACTTGTAAATAGGATAATTATTTGTAAATGATAACTTAATCATCAATGCATATTATTTTGATAAAGTAATGTAAAACGATAATTAACATTAATTGCAGAAGAAATTGCCTGGAAATCCGATCTTAATAATAGTACCTTCTGGTATAGCATCGGCTGTTTCCTCTCGTCAACATAAATGGATTACACAGTTGGGATCGTTAGGCATGGTTGCTACTGTCCATACTCATATAGGTTTGGCAGTAAACAGAATGACTATGATGGTATGCATGGATCAATTGGTTCAGGCTACAAGAGCTAAGATACATGATGTCAGAAGTGACTGTCCTGGTAGGCCAATCATACTCGTAGGTTTCAATGCTGGTGCAGCGCTTGCTTGTCAGGTAACATATGTTGCATTAATTTTTTTTCTCGTTATTAATTTTTATTCAGTACAAGCGAAAAAGGTCATATTCAGTCGTTCCAGGTGTTGAAAACTAATAAACGCAAAAAATATTACACATCAATACCTGCTTTGATCAAATATGGCTTTTTTCACTTAATTGTATTGAACATTTCTCAATCGTTTTTATTTACTATTGATTTTTATTTGTTTTCCGATATAGGTGGCCCAGATGGAACACATAACTGCTGTTATCTGCATTGGATTTCCTTTCACAACGGTTGAGGGAAAACGAGGTACACCTGATGATGTGTTAATGGACATTCGCTGTCCTGTCATGTTTATTATTGGACAAAATGCTACTCTCGTTAGACCAGACGATTTGGAAGAACTCCGTGAAAAGATGCTGGTCGAGACGAGTTTGGTAGTCGTGGGTACGGCCGATGATTATCTCAGAATATCCACGTCTAAAAAGATACTCGAAGGCATCACACAGAGCATGGTGGACCGATGCGTGTTAGACGAGATTGGAGATTTCATCGGTAGCATTCTTTTGCAACCACATCCATTACCGCTGCGACCAGCAATAACGACAAACTGTGATAATAAGAACAAAAAGGATTCTCATAAACGAAGAAACTCGACCAGCAGTTCGGTAGAGAGCGAACCCAACTCACCGATCGTGAAAAAATCCCGGCCAAACACACCAGTGTCTTCCGCACTATCACTTGGGACGAACGTGGCGTCGAGCTCGGTTTCCAAAACTGGTACATTCAGTACTCAGGCCAATTTGGTGCAAATAAGCGGACAATATACAAATCATACTTCCACCGTGAAACGAAAACGACCTACAAACAATCAAAGAAATCAACTCTCAGAATTGAAAAATTCCAAGCTTCCTGCACAGGTAATCACGCAATATGTGTACATACTATGTATTACATAATATACTGTAATAATTGAAATGTGTGTGTGTGTGTGTGTGTGTGTGTGTATGTGTGTGTGTGTGTGTGTTTTAATTCTTTGTTGCATATATTGTTTTCTGCAAAGAATATCTTTCTTATATACCATATATTAAAAATCAGCAAAATGTACAATAGAAAAATGTGTGCAACAAATGGTTAAATAATATAATATATATAATATAATATTATATATATATATATATATTATCAATAATTATAATTATTTACATATACATTATTGCAGGCAAATGTAAATTCGGAAAATGGCATAACGCTTAATATCGGTACTTTGGCGAGTCTGGCACCAGTAGGGCCGATACGTTTAGCACCCACTACAGTGAGTCAAGCCACAACCGTTCCCTGTAAAACATCTAACGTGTCTAAATCCTCAGCCGCAACTGTTAAAATGCCGAAGATTATTTCAAATCCCCTGCAGAATGTTTCGAAGATGAAAACTATAGTATCTTCTAATAAGTCTTATTCGAATATGATCTCAAATAGTTACAGACAAGTCAATGCACCTGACAAAAGTGGAGACGCGAAATTAGTAAACGTTTTTACCATGGGAAATCAGGTTAGAGTGAATACAGCTTCTGCAGGTAAGATAAATTTATAATTAATTTATGGTGAAATTACAAGTAGAAAAAAGTAATCTAAATATTATATTTTTGTTTTTGTTTTTGTTTTTTTTCCCCCAATTAAATAGGAGGAAATAGTAAGCTTACGGCGACAAGTGGCACGTTATCGAATCTTTTGCAAAGTGAAAAGAACCCTCTTACAATCACCAGCGGTGCATCCGCCGCTCGTACATCATCGGCTTCTAGTATCTTATTAACAACCACCAATTCATCAACAAATACCGTAACATCATCCACATCGTCCCCTTCAAAAGGTAGATTATTATTATCTAGGCCACTATTAAATAATTTACCCGAAACATAGTATAAATAAATATATACATGTGGGCTCTATATACAATTTTTAATAATCTGTTAATTAAATGACAGATGTTACAATTTCTGTTTTGTGTAAGCGTACTTTAGATGATTTTTATATTTAGCAAATTCAATATTACAAAATTGAATATTTATTCAACTTGAAACAAAGTGAAAATAATTGATATGTGTGTTTATAGTAGTAACATTAATTTCGACATATTTCAATTTATTTTTATACATCATAAATTAAATCAATTATTAAACTAATTGCTTTAGCATAAATAAATATTACAATAACATTTAAACATTATAAACATTTAAATTTTTATAGTACTGATTTAATCGTATGTATGTAGACTATAAATTTGTGTTCGTCCTTGATATTCTAATAAAATGTACGTAATACATGCATATATAAATATATATTTTTCTATTATACTTTTACACTGTAAAATGACATAAATTACCTCATAGTTTCAAAATAACGAATTGGTAAAAGGGAACATAAATTCTTAAAATTTTTTGTCATAATCTTATACCAACAAAATTTACAACTAAAATATTTGAACCAGTAATAATTTTATTAAAATTTAAAAAATATTAAACTATAATAATCTACAGTTTACTATTTTATTTGATTATTTTTATGATAATTATGTAACTTTCAGATAA